GTTACCTTTCGAACGGTGTATTTTATTTACAATTTCGTTTACCCGTTTACAATTTACGGGTCAAAAATAAAACCCGTCTCACAACTGGAGACTCTTCCCTACTATTTTAATAAAATTTTCCAAAAGAATTCAATAATTTAAAAAAAAAATTAATAAATTTCTAAACAAACATTTAATTATTTTCATTAATAATAAAAATTTCCCAGGAATTCAATTATTTATAATTTTTTTTTATAAATTTCTTCGCAATAATTCAATTATTTTCATAAATAATAAATTTTTTATGAGAATTGAATTTTAAGAAAAATTTAATTATTCAATAAATTATTTATTTTTGTATTTAAATAATTGTATTCTCGTAGAATTTTCTAATAAGAATTGATTAAGAATTGAATAAAACAAATTGATTAAAGTTTTGAATAATTTTATTTATAAATTTAAAAAAAATGATTGAATTTTGAATGAATGACTTTCGTAATTTTTAGAAATAGTTAAATCCTAAAAATTGCGTTACATTGAATTCATTTGAAATATTTTTATTGCTGCAGACAAAATAAATATGTATTTAAATATTTATTTAAAAAAATTATTCTATTTTTGAATGTAGGTAATTAAGAAATTATAAAAAATTGAGTAAAGTTTGTTTTTTTCTGTGTCATATCACTTATAAGGGAAGAAATTAAAGTTTAATTATATAAAACAATATAAATATAAAACGTGGTTAATTTCTAACATTCTTGAGTTACTAATATGATATACTTACATATTACGTACAAATGCATATAAGCAGTTATTTGCAAATTCTATAGTTTCTTATGATACTTTTTGTTTTAATATTTCTTCAAGGTGATGGAACTTAATACTGTACTTTTAAATCTCAACCCTTAAACGCTGTTAAGTCTGAAATTTCGTTTCAAAAAATCATCCACAACAATTAATTTACAAAATTTGAATCATAATTTTGCCATTTTCTAAAAACTAACATTAAATTTGAATTCCGCAATGATGCTAAAATTTGAATAATTTCGGAACTTTGAAAACATTCAACAAATTTTGCCGAAACATTTATTTCCCTCATAATTTTCATTTAATTGTTACACTGACAAAGTGATATGTAAATAAATTAAATTGAGAAGAATATAAATAAAAGGAGATCTAATTATATAATGCAATATTGATATGTCAATTAATTGCCTCTTTCTGCAGTTATAACGATCAAAGAATGTATCGAATTTCATCAGAGATTTCAAAAGCGAAAGTGATTTCTATTTCTAGAGTTTGCCTTTATCATTTATTAATATAATCTGTTGCTCTTTTTATAACTTTGATTATACAGATAATAATTTATTCAATAAATAATTCATCTTAATTCACATTTGAATAATTTAAGAAAGAGATAGAGAGAGAGGAAAAATTTTCAGAAAAAGATCAAGATCATCTGTACCTAGTGATTTAAGAGAAGACTATTGACCCACATGTTGAGAAAATTGTTTACAGTGTTAAATTAAAATGACTTGGTAAAATAAAAAATAGATACAAATTTATTTAATGTCCGTGAATGTTAAACACATCAATGTGATTTGAATATTAATTAGCAATAAATATTCGAGTCATGTCTATAGTAATCTCAAACACTTCGGTCCCGTATACACATATTATATCGTTCTATTAAAATAATTGAAAGTAGAGTGAGAACAAAAGAAAGCGAAGAGTCATGAACAATTTTTACGCTACCAGATCTATTTCAGATTTATTCAGCCATCTATACACAATAAGATCTCCCACGAGCTCTTGTAACTCTTCTACAAACAATAACCTCGTACTTTTGTTTATCATTATAACTATCATTATTATTAATATTATCATTATTTTTATTATTATTACTACTATCAATGCTATTTTTACTATTAATTTTGTTAGCATTTCTTCAAATAATATTTTGTATATTAAAAAATAGCAATTAATAACAGGTAATAAGAAAATTTGAAACTTAAAAGGCAAACATTTTCGTCAAGAATCACAACGCTCAATCTATAATTTAAATTCAATAATTCAATAGACGAATGTACTATCAAAATTTAGGACAAATTAAAAAAATTATTATAAAAGTTATTGAAAAAATTGAATTGAAATTTAGGTTAACGTACTTCATGTTTAGGTTGGGATGAGAAATTATTTCAAATAATTAGCAAACCTAACTTCAAAATTTAGGCCAAAACAATTCAGATAACAAGATAATTATTCTCAAAATAATCTCATAAATCATATATTAAAATTATTAAAATAAGTAAAAAAAATAGGGTCATTTGGGGTAAATGTAAACAGTAGATGTTTCAGATAAATTTACCAATTTAAAAATAAGTACGACGTCAATATTTTTACCTCAGCTCACCTACAAGATGTTCTGAGTATTGCCAATATTTTATTTTGACAATTGGCAACGCCATAGTGTAAGTTATCTTTTAATGCAAAAAAGATTGAAAATCAAAGTTTTACTGTTTCAGTATTTTGTCTCGCGCATTTGCATAAAAATAAATTAAAAAATCAAACAAAAATATGTATAATTCTTCCTTATTAATGCCCTAACAAAAATTGACTTTGATTTTTGATTTTCGTCAATTTACTTAATAAATAATTAAGTGTTTACATTTACCCCGAGAATTCTAAAACTCTGTTTAAATGTAAACAGAACTTGAACTACATTTTAAAAGAAAATAATTGAATAAATTTGCTTTTATTTCACAATTTCATTAATTTGGCAATGTAAAATTACATAGAAAAGGAAATTAGGTCCTCTTTAAAAAAAAAATTTGATAAAAAAAAAATTTTTTTTTTGAAAATTTGATCAATTTTTAAAAATATTTTTAGGTTTATCCGCCATTTTGAAAATTTAAAATTTGACTTCAAATTCGTATTCAGCGACCTCAAAAACCCCCGAGTAGCCAGATTCAAGCAAATTTGATCAATTTTTAAAAATATTATTTTTAGGTTCATCCGCCATATTGGATCCACCATTTTGAAATTTAAAAATTCGATTTTAGATTCTTATTGAGCAACCTTAAAAACTTCTTTTTACCAAGTTGAATGAAAATCTATTGAAATTTGTTCAAGATATTCAAGTTTTTACATTACTAATTTTGTAATGGTTGATATTGTTTATTTATATGATACATTATCAGTCAACTGGTTGATTTACTACACATCTACGAAGAATTTTTTTTCAGTTTTTCCATCCCTTAAAACAGTAGTATACTTGAAGTAACTTGTTTCTTAAACCTCGCTTAACTACAGTGGTGTTTACATTTACCCCGAATTTTAGGAAAATTTCAAAATCTCGGGGTAAATGTAAACAGTCAGTTTTAGGCGATTCAGGTGCATCAATATTTTTTTGTACCTCATAAAATTTTTATAGGGAACTCTAGTAACAAGTTCATGCAAAAGAAATCCGTCCGTTTTACCTTTTAACAAAAAAAAACTAATGTTTTTCGTGAAAAATAGATATTCCGTTTACATTTACCCCAATTGACCCTATAACAAATTTTCTTTGTCTGTATATTAAGAAAACTTTATTTAGTACTTTAGAGTAAAATAATAATAGATAATAATAGTAAACTAAATGCGAATTTAATTCGAAGAAATTAGTAGATTTTTACACTTTTGTGAAATAACCTTTCCACTTTTTCGATGTTTAATAATTATTTTCTCGTTGCCAATGACAATAAAAATAAAAACATCTGAATAACTTTGTAGGCAATATATTAAACTATTATTTACAACAAGAACCAAATTAAAATAATTTACCACAAAAATTTTACATAAAAAAGAATTACGCGTTCCATATTTACCTCTGATGTTCCATAATTACCCCTGTTGACGGTAATTGAATATCTCAGAATTTTTTAGAACTTTTTGAAAATAATTCAATTTCATGAAGAAATTTCATTAAAAAATTGAAAATAATTGAAATTTAACGAAGAATTTCATTAAAATATCTTAAATGATTGAATGGCTTCGAAGAATTTTATTTTTTACGAAAATAATTGAATTGTTTCGAATATTTTTAAAAACATTTTTAACAATAATTGTATTCCTAGGCAGAATGTTATATTTTACTAAAATAATTATATTCTATGATAAATTTTATTATAATTTTTCAAATTTATAAATCATTTTATCAAAATTTTTTTAAATAATTGAATTTTCGAGAAAAATTTTATTATTTATGTTTAAATAATTAATTTGGGAGCGTTCACAAATGATGTCACGCTTTTTGGGGTAGGGGGGGGGTCCTTACTAAACGTGACACAATGTATTTTTCTCATATGAAATTGCAAAAATTGCGTGACAGGGGGGAAGGGGCGGGGGGGGGGGTTGAAAATTTCCAAAAATTGCCTGACATCATTTGTGAACGCTCCCTTTTTGCGAAGAAATGTATATAAAATGTACATAAAAAAATGTATTATTTGTGAAAATAATTGAATTTCTCAGAACTATTTTTTTCAATTTTCTGAATTGTACTTGTATTCTTTCGAGAAACTTCATTAAAAAAATTTAAAATAATCCAATTGGTTTGAACAAATTTATAAAAAATTGGTAAATAATTAAATTCCTGTGAAATTTTTATTAAAATTTTGTTTAAATAATTGAATACTTTTGGAAAATCTTATTAAAATGGTAGATATTAAAAATAATTGAAATAAGGAAAATTTTTGAATTAATTGAAATTCAAATTTTCAAAGATTTTAATTTTAAACCTTTTTAAAATTCAATTATTTCTATAAATTCACGCTATAATACTTTTAACATTCAATTATTATCTAACATTTTAACTGAAATTCATTTTTAAAACAATTTTTATTAGAAAATATTCTACTAGAATTCAATTATTTAAATGCAAAAAAAACCAGAACGAATCCCAGTTGATGGTAATAATAATTATTGTTTCCCAAAGTTATCTCTCTTAACATGAAGATAATAAAAAATAAAATAAAACTACTTACTATTGGTTTATCACGTTTCCTTTTGATATTCATGCCATCGTTCTCAATGTAGTCTGGAACATCCTTTCTGCCACTGAAGTTGAACACCATTGTATTATTTTGCTGATTCCAAGGCTTCGTATCCCAAAGACCACCTCCAGAATCTGCTTTTTTCGCCTGTATTTCCTCAGCACTTTTTAAACTAACAACAACCTTTGTCGGTTGCTCTATACTTTTAACTCGATTTATCAGATTTTTTTCAAGTTCCCTATTACTTAAATTCTGCTGTGGCAATTGTGTTTTCGTTGAGACCAAAGGTCGAATGATTCCAATTTGTTTTTGCGGCGGTGAAATTGTCTCAGATTTATGATACCTTATCGTCTTTGATTCATTACATTGTGGATAAGTTGTCATTGTCACTGTTCTTATTAATCCCAAACTTGAAATTGCTCCCACCGAACCTCGATTTTCCATATTCGCTTCTTCAATCAGGGATTTCTCACTCTTTTCCGGACTGAGTCTCTCTTGAATTCGCGCTCTATTTATTAGATCATCACTACTTGCCGTTAAAAGTGTTTTATTCTCAAATTCAATATTTTCTGTTTGTCCGTTTAATTTTGGTAAATGACTCTTATCAGTGAGACTTTTATTGTTGAAATTAAACTGCAAGGTTGTTCCGGCTTTACTTATGTTATCTAGAGCCAACCTTGATACCGTCCTTGGTCCATCTACGCACTCGGATTCTTCCAATTTCTCTTCATCGGGGGTCTTAGGATCGATTTCTTGTTCCACTGGTTCGGGTTCTTCTAATTTCTTATTATCTCTTAGTTCTATTTGATCTTCTTTCCAATGTTCTTTTAGTTCTTTGTAATCGATGTTTGGTTCACTTTCTCCGGGAGGTTTCTTGGTATCGACGATGGGCTTGACGTTTTCCTTTTCCATTTGATGCCAAAATTTCGGAGGATCTGGTGAGGAGATTTGTTTGACGAATTCTCGACTAGGACTGGTGGGTAGTTTGTGAACTGGACTGGAATTTTGGCGGATAAGATCCTTTTTGGGCGATGATGGTGAGGTTATTCTTGGGGACAGAATGGGAGTTAAAGGTGGAGACTTGATTTCGAGGGAGGATTTTAATTTATTGAGCGAGGGTTCAGGACTCGGGACGGGTGAGAATTTGATTTTGAATGAGGGTTCAGGAGATGGCGAGGGGGAGAGGGATTTTTCGATTTGCTGGAATTTGGAGACGACTGAGGATACGGATTGTATGATGGGTTCGGTGATGACGCCCTCATTTCGATGTTCGTCAAGTGGGTCTTGTTTTTCGGTCGGTAGTTTTTGGGAGAGGATAATTTTCTTCGGCGATGAGGAAGTTCGGTTGTTGCCATTGAGGAAGGGTTTGGGTTGAAGCGGTGGTTTGGGAATAATTTTCTTCTGATTTTTTGCTTTGTAGGTGTCGTTAATTGTCTTGAAGGTAGCGACTTTAGCAGCGACATCGCCCTTTGGCTTGAGCTTCTTTGCGGAACCCTCGAAGATTCTCATGGTGGTCTTGACTAGATCCGGTGGTGGTCTCTCAGTTTCCGCCAGGACAGGTTTGATCCTCAGGGGTTTGTTGACAGCCTTCGGTCTCTCCTCAACGAGGCGACTCTCGATCTTCACGGACGATCTGTCGATAAGGATAATATGATCGTTGACGGGTTCTTGTTTAAAAATGGAGCCAAACCGGTTTGAGGTTGGTTCCTCTGGTGCTGAATTGTACCTCATGAGAGTCTCCACGCTCCTTGCTCTTTTCATCGAGTCATTACCCCTCGCAGAGTTTCTGTAACGTTCCGCCTTTGTGACAACATTTTTCTTGGTGAATCTTTTGATTGTCTTCTCTGGAGGATCGTCCTCGCAATCGAGGAGGTCCTCGAGACTTGCCGCGCGTCTGAATCTTTGCACTGAGCCTCGATTTTTATTCGTCTCCCTCAGTGTTAGATTGAGGTACTTGCTCTTCAATTTGTTGACAATTCCTGGTCCGTACTGTAATTCCTCGGAACTGTCACTTTCACACTCTTCCGACACTTTATTTATCTCGCGAGTCATGTCAAGTCGTTGCGTTGTTTTCGAGAGTTCCATTAATTGAAAAATGTCACTCTTCCTCTCAACTTTTCTCGCTCGATACAAGTCACAATTTTCCGATTTGCTTTTATCAAGATTAATTTCCGGTGTTCGTCCGGCGGGCGCTGAATTGAGAACGTCCTCCGAGTCGGAACAAAGCGAGACATCCGCTTCGAGACGCATGTTGCCCGCGACTGGCGAACTTTCGAAAGAAGCGGTCACGACTGCAGCGCCACAGGTTGTTTCCCTCGAGGAAGATGCGGAACCTCCACCACCGTTGCTGGTGATCACCTTGCCTTGTCTGCGTCGAATGAGATCCCGCTTCCACTGCGGCACATTGTTGTCACTGTCAAAGCTGCTGGAAGCCATGTTCCAATGGCAAACGCTGTCACAACACAAACAACAAAATTTCCTTTTTCTTCACCCTTTCTTTTGTTGTAAAAACCCATTCAAATTATCACTCACTCCAAACGAATTCCGCTTTTCTCCAGACAACAACAAAAAAAATTTCAAATAAAATACCATTGTAGGATCAAATGTTTCAATTATTCCCTTTCTTGTTGTATTGTAAACAAAAAAATAAATAACAAACAAAAAAATCGATTAAACTGTCACTAAAAATTGAAAAATTAAACATATGCAAAAAATTAAAATTCAATCCCAAACAAAATTGATTCTTTACCAAGATTATTAAATGAGTTGAAACAAAACAAAATAATTATATCAGGGTTGCCACAAAAATTTAATTTTTGTTTCTTTCTGACTTTTTCCTGGATTTTCATATAAACTTTTGACTTTTTCCTTGATCCTAAAGAATTACTCTAAAAATTTAATTTAAATTCCTAAAGATTTACTCTAAAAATTATTAGATACTCAAAAAAATGTGCTATTACATTTATTTACAAATTTCTTCAAAAGTAAAATTTTCAAAAATCAACTTGGTTTATAAACTTCTTTGAGAATTTTCAAATCCATTTTTGTTCACAATTGAATTTTACGAAAATTGGATTATTTGGAAATTTTTCAGTTAAATATAATATTAGAAAATAAAAACTTCAAATAATTTCAAAGAAAAATTAAATTTAACTTTTTCAAAAAAAATTAATTCTACAGAATTATTAGCTGAAAATACGAAAAATTAAATTATTTCTTAAAATTAATGCTATAAAGCCTTTAATATTCAATTTATTATCTACAACTTTAACGAAAATTCATTTTTAAATCAACTTTTATTAAAAAATTATACGAGAATTTAATTATTTAAATACAAAAATAAATAATTTGTTGAATAATTGAATCTTTCTTAAAATTGAATTCTCATACAAAATTTTATAAACGAAGTTTTAAATAATTTAATTCTTTTGACGATTTTTAATTTTATTAAAATTTTCGAAATTAATTGAATTTTAAAGAAAAAATTAATTATTTATGAAAATAATTGAATTATTGCGAAGAAATTTATAAAAAAAATTGTAAATAATTCAATTCCTGTGAAATTTTTATTTATGAAAATAATTAAATGCTTGTTTAGAATTTTCTTAAAATTTTTCTTAAATAATAATTGAATTCTTATTGAAAGTTTTATTAAAATATAGTATTGATATGGAAAATCATTGAATTGACGAAAATATTTGAAAAAAATTGGATTTTTGCCAAGAATTTTATTAAAATATACAAAAATAATTAAATTTTGAAGAAAAAAATGTATTAATTATGAAAATAATTTAAATTTTGTCAAGAATTTTATTAAAATTTTCGAAGAAAATGGAATTTTGAAGAAAAAAATTATTACTTATGAAAATAATTGAATTATTACGAAGAAATTTATTAAAATTTTCAAAAATAATTGAATTACTGCGAAGAAATTTATAAAAAAAAATTGTAAATAATTGAATTCCTCTAAAATTTTTATTATTTATGAAAATAATTAAATGTTTGTATAAAATTTTATTAAAATATTTTTTGTTAAATAAATTGTATTCTTTCGGGAAATTTTTTGAAAATAGTAGTTGAAAATCGTTAAATTGATGAAAATTTTTGAAAAGAATTGAAATTTTGCCAAAAATTTTTGAAAATAATTGAATTATAAAGAAATAAATTGTATTATTTATGAAAATAATTGAATTTCGAAGAAAAAATATTATTTTTTATGAAAATAATTGAATTATTGTGAAGAAATTTATTAAAATTTTCGAAAATAATTGAATTTTGAAGAAAAAATGTTATTATTTATAAAAATAATTGAATTATTACGATGAAATTTATGGAAAAACTGTAAATAATTGAATTTCTGAGAAATTTTTATTGTTTATGAAAATAATTGAATTCTTTTGGAAATTTTTGAAAATAATTGAAATTTTGCAAAGATTTTTATTAAAATTTTCGAAAATATTTTAATTTCAAAGAAGAATTTTATTATTTACAAAGATAATTGAAATTTTGACAAGAATATTTAAAAATTTTCTTCTGAATTTCCTGACCTGTGGCAACCCTAAAAATGTTTAATTTTCATTTTTTGCAACTTGTCAAATTAAGTCATTATTACTTTTTCATAATTATTTTACCAATACTACATTCCTTTTTAGTCATTTATACTCATATTTATAATACCAAACGTAGAATAGAATGTTTAAAAAATTTCAAAGAAAATAAGAAAAATTATTTTATTTAAGGTTATGTTTTGGAAAAATTGTCACATTTTTCAAAATTTTAAGAAGGTATCGTAAAATTTACACGCAAATTGTACTTTCAAATGATTAAAAAATTATAATTAAAAAACGGAATGTGAGTTCAACTTCTTTATAACCAAAAATGATAAAATGATTTTTAAATATTTCCAAAATTGTTAATTTATGAATGAACTAACCTGCATTTTCTTTGTTTAACTCAAATTCTGATTAAAACTAAAAAATAAAATTTTTAATTTTCTAAATACACATATATTTCACAGCACTTTGAGGTTATAAACGTTTGTTTATACGGTTTCTATATACATACATTATTTGTACGATACAATAACATGGATTCCAACATCCCACAATAATATAGAAAAGGAAAATTTCAAAAACATAACTTGCACAACTGTATAAAAATTCAATAATTTAATCTTATTCCCAGAGGAATGTAGAGAATTTCTATACACATATGCACAATTCACTGCACTCCTGCACTTTAAGAATGTAGAAACAAAATCAAATCTTCCAAGAAAAACGGAATTCACTTTTGGAGTTTGAAATTGACATTAAAAAAATCAACCCAATTTCTTACCGGGTTTAACACTCGTGCCGGTCCTAAATCTTCTGCTTCTTAACACTGTCGCCGCCACGTTTTTGTTTTTCTTTCTCCTTGTCAGAAAATTCCAATGATTTTTTTTCTTTACAGACGAAAAATTAAAGTGGCATTACCTTGAAAAGGGTTAGGTTTAGAAGCACCCTGGTGCCACTATTCGACTGGTGTGCTTTCATTTTCATATCTACTACTCCGACTCTATTGTTTCACTTTGACTATTGTATGTCAGTATGTATTTAACTTATTGTATATGTTGTTGAATTAAAACGAAAAAAAAGCGAAACTGACCGTTCACTACCGGCAACTGGAATTATTCGAGTTGACTGGCCTGGGTTCTGGACGTTAAATTTAAGGGGGGGGGGATTAGATTATTTAATGCATTCTAGATCAGAAAGAAGAGCGAATAGAAAAGACACACACACACATACTCGAAGATAAAAAAGAAAATAGTATAAAGGAAGAGAATTAATCTTCTGCACTTATAATTTTATTTGATTATAGTCGCGAAATGTTTTTTTGTAATAAAAAAACCCTGAAAGTCAAACCCTCGAGAAGTGGGTAATGTTTGTCTCTTTTGTTGAGGCTCGGAATTCTCAAACGACTCGATACGCTCCTGACGAAGCCCCTCCTTTGTCCGAGCAACCGAGTTTCAAACACATATATACACATGCACGCGACGCCGGGAAATCGAAACTTGGCGGGTTGCTTCTTGCCTTTTGGTATGAGAGTCTGATTCGCGGAATAATCTCAACTCTCAAAAAGGGAAGAAAATCAATCGTTATACTGGAACGTCTCTCTCTTTCTTTTTCTCTCTCTGTCTCTACAAGTTCCCCACATGAAAGCGTGTCTTTTAAACTATAAAAACCCCAAGTATAAGGACTGTTTAGCAAGGGTCGGAACTAATTGTGCTCTAAATATTCTAAGAAATTGCGATAAATTTATTGCATCTTGTTGATTGCGATCAACAAAGAAAACTGTTTTTTTAAAAACAGTGAAAGAAAATGTTTTTAAAAACTACTGAAATAAAGGCAAAATGCATTTTTTAAATTCCTGAGGGCTAATCTACATATTTTGCTAAAACGTAAATAGGGATTTTAAAGATTAGACTGATTTTGCGAAAGTTATTTATTATGAAACAGCTTAAATATTTTTTAGTAAAAAAATTCTTTACGATTTTAAAAAACATTGAATTTCTAGTAGATCAATTAAGTAAAATAGAAATTAGGAATAAAATTTCGCAGTGTTTTTTAAAAAAGCGATATATAAGAAAACAGTTTGTAAATAATAAACTTTGACAGATCGCCATTATTCATGACAAAAGTAAACATAACCTTGCTTAGTAACTTTTATCGTTTCTTCTCAAACGATAATTTTATTTTCATAAAAAGCTTTTATTTAAAAAAAAATACGATTCTTTATTTGAGAAAAAGAACTAAACAGTAAATCAGTAAATAGAAAAAAAATTCAATAAAATAAAAAATTTTAAAAGACGGGATAAAGGTGAAGTCACACCTCTAGCCTCTTGCATTCCTATAGTTAGTGTTACGTGCGGAGTTACGTTATTTACGCGCAGGCGTAAAATCCGCGATTTGATTCGATGTTCAATCTTGGTTTAATCCTTTGAAAAGGAAGGCGGAAATATTCAAATAAAACAAGTTAATTTCCGTTAAAACGGAGGGAAAAACCTCACGAATAAGAAGGATCAATTAATAATTAATAATATTAATTAATCATTAATCCAACTAAATTCGCGAGTAAACCCAATACATTTATTAAAGTCAAAACATTACACAAGTCGAAGTTATTCTAAAAGCTATTTTGGGACTACTCTGAAGTACATTACGAAAGAACTCCAAAGTAGAACTGAATTCGTGAGGGAGCATTTAGCCCTTGGTCCATGGCAAAATCTTTGCGCATGCCCTGTTATAGAGTTTGTAAAGTCTATGGAGTGTTCAGAATCACAACACCAACACTGCACTGCACTAATACACGTATAAACATACTCTACGTATTGAAAACATGTATCACAACAAGTGAACATAACCCTTTTTCATTCACACTAATTACACAATTATTAATTATTTACATCATATCTAGTAACAATAAATCTCTTATACTGCACTCATCATATTTAAATATAAATAACAATTATAACGATAACCAATTTGATAATATATCATAATATAATATTATTATCATATTAATACGTTACAAATATATATTTATATTCAATACCATAATATTACAACACTCAATTAGATGAAGTTTACTAATAATATCATTTTCAAATAATACATTCATATTGCATAATTAGCAACAATATAATATTGTTGTCAATTGTTCATAATGTTCATATTATACAATTGATAATTAAAGTTCGTCGCATAATGAAAGTCTATGTGTACGTGACTTTTCGAAGCCATTTCTGTGGTCACAAGTATGGTAAACACATGTTGCATTGTCCTATGGAAAAGGACACTTGAGATATTTTTTATATTCTTTCGAGGGTTTCTCGGTTTTATGACTCTAAAGAAACTAGAGATTACATTTTCTTTCGCTATTCTACTTGATTTATGGCAATTCTAAGAAATGTTGATTTTCAAATACATATTCAGAATTTGGAAACTATTAAACCGTGAAGTATTATATTTTACAATAGTCAAACTTTCTTGTTTAGTCTCGTCAATAATTGTCTAAAGTCGTGAGAAAATACTAAAAATAATTAAGTTTATTAACGAAATGTTATAATTCGCGCTTCGATAACTCGTAAATCGATATATCGAAAGTTAACGAGCGAGATGGTAGTCGCTCGTAACATTAGGTTGCCAATGCAACTTATATGAGCGAGAGAGACAGCAAATTGAAACAAAATTCATTTTCTTTCTTCCTCTTGCTGTTACCATGACAACGAGTCAGTCGAGAATGATTCAGTTTTTGCCCACGTCCCAATATTCGTCCACTTTTATATGATTTTGAGTAAATGAACGAAAATATATTGTTTTACTTGATTTAACTATTTTTATCATAATCTACAATATCTGGAATTATTTTTCAGCAGTTTTATTTTTTAATTTTATTATTAAAATCTTAACGAAAGAAATTTAAAAAGTTTGCCAAGAAATTTATAAAAATAATTATAAATAATTGAATTCCTGTGAAATTTTTATAATATTTATGAAAATAATTAAATGTTTGTTTAGAATTTTATTAAAATTTTTTTTAAATACTTGCATTCTTTTGGCAAGTTTTTTTTAAAATATAATAAAAATCATTGAATTGATGAAAATTTTAGAAAATAATTGAAATTTTTTTGAAAATAATTGAGTTTTAAAGAAGAAATTTTATTATTTATAAAAATAATTGAATTATTGCGAAGAAATTTATTAAAATTTTCGAAAATAATTGGATAAAAATTGTCCAGAATGGAGAATCTATATTGGAGTAAGAGAGACAGGCTATCTATCTATCTATCTATCTCTCTTACTCCAATGTGGATTTTCCGTTCTGGACAATTTTTACCGTCTAACGGTGTGCAAGCGCCTTTATTATGCTCCTTTCATTTCAAAGTGAACGCATATTTTTCCCCCTCCCATGTGTCGCATTTCCGATGCTGCACTATTAAAAATAATTTCTCAACCCTCCTGCTTCCAATGTCCCCAAAAATTCGATAGGACTGTTGGCAGCATTGTTTAAAATGGCTTCGTATTAATTCGAGACGCGTACAGACCGTACAGACGCGTACGAACCTGTTATAAGTATAACCTATGTAAATTTTTTTTAACAAAGTTTAGATCATACTTTAATTATACTTTGTTAACAAGTTATACATTAGAAAAAATCGAATAAGAAGTAAAACACGAAGAAATGGAGGCAATTAGTCAAGGAGGTCAAATAATTGGTCTTCTGCAAGCAGGTGGGATACATTTTTATTTTAATATTTAAATGCCATACTTTCTGTTTCAAACAAATATTTGCAAATTTCAAAATAAATAGCATTCTTATTATATTTTTAAAAACGTTAATAATATTTTTTAATTATTTCGAAAGGATATTTAATTTTCTATTTTTTTGAGTCTGTTTCGTATTTTATTCCAAATCTAAATATTTCCTAACCTATTTTAAGTATATACTGCATTGCGTATAATACTTGTTTACTTTATTTTTTTTTAATTTTGTAAAAATTATTGGTTTAATTAAATGTTTGAAGGAAAAAGCAATATGTTGATTGCTACTTTAGACAGAATCTGATTATAAATACAGAATTGGAGATTTTTTAAATTATCACATGTGAAGAATTAAACCAACTGTAAGAGAATCTAAATAATATAATGGGAATTGGAAATTAAAAATTAAAAATCGTTTTTAAATATTAAAATAAATAGGAAAAGTTAGAATAAAAATGTCTTATTTGTAAAAAAAGTTATTAATTTTATCTTGTAGAGATTAGCAATAAATTTGGTCAGTAAATTGCCTATATCAAAAAATGCAAATAATTCTTTAAAATGTCTAAAAAACTTTTACTTACACTAATTTCTTTATACGTTTGAAAATTTAGTTAATTTTTTGTTTTTGGTTAATTTTTTTTACAGGATTGCCACAGGTCAGGGAACTCAGGGAAAAGTCAAAGATTTTTATTAAAAGTATTGGAAAAAAATTCAGTTTTTTTAATTTAGAAAAAAATTCTAAATTTTTGTGTCATTTTTGGTTTGTCTCATAAGCTATGAAATTACCACGAATTCTAATACAAAACCTTCCATTTTTTTTATTTCTGACAATAATTTCTTTTTAAATGACTTAATTCTTGAAAAACTATTATAAAATTATTACTTATATAAATATTAATTATTAAATAAATAATTTATTTTTGTATTTAAATAATTGAATTCTCGTAGAAAAGGTTTCAAACAAAAATCTTTGAAAGTTGGAAGTTTTCATACTTTTAATTAACAGTTCTGTAGAATTAATTTTTTTGGAAGAATTTTAGTTAAAAATTTGTCAAATTTTCAATTATCTTTATAAATAATAAAATTCTTCTCCGAACTTCAATTATTTTCAAAAATTTTAATAAAAATCTTGGTAAAATTTCAATTATTTTCGAAAATTTTCCAAAATAATTCAATTATTTATTTAGAAAAATTTTAATAATATTCTACACAAACATTCAATTATTTTCATAAACAATAAACATTTCTCTGAAATTCAATTATTTACAGTTTTTTAATCGCAATAATTTAATTATTTTCATAAATAATGACATTATTTCTTCGAAATTCAATTATTTTCGAAAATTTTAATACAAATCTTGTAAAAATTTCAATTAATTTAATAAAAAATAACATTTTTCCTTTGAAACTCAATTATTTTCGAAAATTTTAATAAATTTCTTCCTAATAATTCAAATATTTTCATAAATAATAAAATTTTTTCTTCAAAATTTAATTATTTTCGAAAATTTTAATAAAATTCTTGGCAAAATTTCAATTATTTTCAAGAAATTTCATCAATTCAATGATTTTTCAATACCTACTATTTTCATAAAACTTTCCAAAAAAATTCGATTGTCTAAAAAAAATTTTAATTAAATTCTAAACAAACTTTCATTATTTTCATAAATAATACAAATTTTAGAGAAATTCAATTAATTTCGAAAATTTTAATAAATTTCTTCGCAGAAATTCAATTATTTTTATAAATAATAAAATTTTTTCTTCAAAATTCAATTACTTTCGAAAATTTTTATAAAATTCTTGGCAAAGATTTAATTAATCAATTGTCATCAATTTAATCATTTTCAATATCTACTATTTTAAAAAAAAATTTCAAAAGAATTCAATTATTTAAAAAAAATTTAATAACATTTTAAACAAACATTTAATTATTTTCATTAATAATAAAAATTTCACAGAAATTCAATTATTTATAATTTTTTTAAGTAAATTTCATCGCAATAATTCAATTATTTTCTTAAATAATAAAATGTTTCTTCAAAATCCAAGTAATTTCGAAAATTTTAATAAAATTAAAAATCACTAAAAGAATTCAATTATTTAAAAAATTTGTTTATAAGATTTTTTATGAGAATTAAATTTTTAGAAAAATTTAATTTTTCAAAAATTATTTATTTCTGTATTTAAATAATTAAATTCTCCAAGAAGTTTCTAATAAAAGATGATTTAAAAATTAATTTTCGTTTAAATGATCGATAATAATTGAATATTAAAGGTTTTATAGCATGAATTTTTAGAAATAATTGAATTTTAAAAGCTTTTAAGTTAAAATCTTTGACAATTTGAAATTTTCATATTTTCAACTAATAATTTTTTTAGAATTAATTTTTTTTTTGAAAAAGTTAAATTTAATTTTTCTTTGAAATTATTTGAAATTTTTATTTTCTAATATTATATTTAACTAAAGAATTTCCAAATAATTCAATTTTCGTAAAATTCAATTGTGGACAAAAATGGATATGAAAATTGTCAAAGAAATTTTGCAAATATTATTATAAAAATAATTGATTTAAAGAAGAATTTTAGTTAAAAATTGTAGAAAATAATAATTGAATTGAAAGGATGAAAATAATTATGAAGAAGTTTTTGTAACAATATTCTTATAATAGAAAATGATGATTTTATCACTCAGTCATTTTGAATTATGATAAAACATGAAGATATCAATATTATAAGTTGTTACATTTCAAAAGGGTTTTGAATTTAAAATTTTTTAAAATCTTGACTCCTTTTTCAAAAGGGTTTTGAGATCAAAATTTTTGAAAATCTTAATTCCTATGGAAAAATAATAATGATTAATTATTGGTTTAAAGAAGAAGTTATTGATGTTTTCGAATAATTTTACAATTAAAGAAATTCGTAAATAAATATAATAGAACATTTTTTTAAGTATCTAATAATTTTTAGAGTGAATCATAATATTCTTTAGAGTCAGGAAAATAATGAAAATTTTGTCTAGAAATCAGGGGAAAAAATTAATTTTGATGGCAACCCTGTTATTACTAAATAAGGTTACAATTAAAGAAAAATAATTATTTAATTTTTACATTATTTTTATTGTATAATATGTATATATAAACTAAAAGTGTGATTCTTTTTTTAGTGGAAATTGTTCCTGACTTGGAAATAAAACTCGAACAAGATGCATACGAGCAGGTGGCTGAAAATGGATTCCCCGATTACGATCCAACAAAGAGAATTCCCTCAACAAATGATGTTGGTGCTTTAAATTTATGGACCAGAGAAGCAACGTCTTGCCTTATTTCACAATACAAAAAATACCGACAGTCCGTTGGTCAAACGACAAAAATTCGCAGTCTACGTGAAATGTTTGAAATGATATCATTCGAAATGCAAAAATTTGGATTTTACTTTAGCGCGCAAAAATGTGAAAACAAATGGCGCGTCTTGGAGCGGAAGTACAATAATTTAGTATTTCGTGAGCGACTAAAGAAACCCGGTAAAATGAGGCATTATGGTTATTGGGAACATAGACGGGCATTAGATGAGATATTTAATGAAAAAAAGAGGCACATGTATCTTGATGAGAGTGATTTTCCACCGCCGAGTGGTTCGGCTAAAATAGCAATGTTGGCAAAAGCGGCGGAGGAAAAGAATGCGAGTAATTCTGGCAAGGCAACGAATAACGATTCAACTGGAAATGCTCAGAAAAATTCTGATAATTCAGATAATCAAGTAGGTGCAGTGAAATCATTACTCGAACAATTTCTAGCTGATATGAAGCAACAATTTATCATGATTGAGAAAAATAATGAAAGGAGACACAAAGAGGAGATGATGATTCGTCAAACTGAATTAGAAGTGCAGAAAAGAATTCTTAAATTAAAGGAGCAAAAACTAGAATTAAAAAAGTCACAGATAATTGCAGCGGTACAAAAACTGGGTATTGACATGAAACAACTCGAATGATTTTTTTTTACCTTTTTTATTTTTTCCCCTCTAAATATTAATTTTCCATGTCATTTTTTGTTTGCAAGATATGTTAATTTTCCATTTTACATATTTGTCACTTTGTAATTTTTTACATTTATAAACCATTTTTTTACGTTATTAGAATGGACTATAACAAAAATTTTGTATTAGGCATTTATTTGCTGTATAATTATAACTTTTCCTATACCTACGTTGACTTGTTAACATTGCAGTAAAAATAGTGAAAAAAAACAATTTATACTTAAATATTAAAGTATTAGTTTAAAGGCATATTTAATGTAAATTTTTGTATAAAAATAAGTTTAAAATGTAGTATTAGTGAAACTGTCCTAATTGTTCCATGAAACATTAAACTTGATTTAATTTTTTCTTAATAAATTCAGTTTTATTTTTTTGAAAGTCTTTTTGTTTATATAATTAGAAAGCATTTTTAAAAAGTTAATTTTCTTTTAAAAACTTTCCAAATTCCTTAATTTATTTTTGTGAGGCAAAATATTTTTCTTTCTAAATATTTAATACTTTTGTCATAGACCAAAAGGAAATTATAAAAAAAACACAAGCAGTACATTCCAGTTAAACTGGAATTAATTTCTATATAATATGTATAAAATAGAATATACTTGTAAATATTTAATTTTAATATTAAAATATTTATATAGTTTACGTGTGTCCGCTCTGTAGATTTATACATACTGTAAAAAAAAATGTGTTGCTGAAATGTATATTTTTTTCAAGAAACTGTAATTACTATAGTGTTGTTGAAAAAGAAATTTTTCTTCTCATCTTTGAAAAGAAAATCGAGAAGTTGGTAAGTCGAATTGTAGTTTTCAGGCGATTTGAAAATAAATTTTATGAACACTGAACAAATTTTAAGTATTATTAAAAAATTATAATTTGGGAAAGTTTTATATTTTAATTTCTTTACTTTTTTTAAAAATCCAACCTTCACAAAAAAATTTTATGTTATTATGTTTATGATCGTTTTACATACATTAGCGAAGGTATTTTTAATTTTATAAAATGAAAAATAATTTGTAATGAATATTCTGGATGTAATCGGGATTAAAATATATCATTTTAGAGAAATTACAAATGATTGACGAAATTCAATTATTTTCAAAAGTTAAAATTCTTCGCAAAGATTCAATTACGTTCAAAAATTAGAAAAAAATTCTGATTAAAATTTCAATTATCTTTATAAATAATAAAATCCTTTTCCGAAATTCAATTATTTTCAAAAATTAATAAAATTCTTGTCCAAATTTCAGTTATTTTCAAAAATTTCCTTAATTCACTGATTTTTAATAACTACTATTTTAATAAAATTTTCCAAAAGAATTCAATTATTTAAAGAAAATTTTAATAAAATTCTACGCAAACCTTTAATTATTTCCATGAAATAATAAAAATTTCACATAAATTCAATTATTTACAAATATTTTCATAAATAATAAAATTTTTACAGGGATTCAATTATTTTCGTAACTAATAAAATTCTTTTTAGGAATTTAATTATTTTCATAAATAATGAAACTCATTGCAGAATTTCAATTATTTTCAATACAAATTCTAATTAAATTCCTCGAAAAATGTAATTATTCTTAAAAATTTTATTGAAATTCGTCAAAAGAATTCAATTTTTTTAAATTTATTAACAAAATTCTTTGTATGAATTCATCTTTAAGAAACATGCAATTATTCAATAAGTTGTTTTTTTTTATTTAAATAATTGAATTCTAGTAGAATTTTCTCACAAACATTGATTTAAAAATGGATTTTAGTTAAAACTTTAGATTATAATTGAATATTATAAAAGCATTAGAGTGTGAATTTTTAGAAATAATTGAATTTTGAAAATGTTTCAAATTAAAATCTTTGCAAATATGAATTTTCCATATATTTTTAACTAATAATTCTGTGAAATTAATTTTGTTGAGAAAGTTTAATTGCCGATTTTTTTTAAAAATTATTTGAAGGTTCTATTTTCTAATATATATTTAAATTTGAAGAATTTACGAATAATAATTGAAATTTTTTAAAATTGAATTGTAAAGAAATGAATTGGAAAATTCTCAAAGACCTTTTTCATAAATTATTAAAAATAATGCACCTATAGAAAAATTTTAGTTAAAAACACGAAAAAAAAATTTAATTTTGGAAAAGTTACAAATTATTGCAGAAATTCAATTATTTTCAAGTGTAATAATATTCTTCGCAAAAATTAAATATTGTTCAAAAATAATAAAATTCTTCATAGGGATTCAATTATTTTCACGAACAATAAAACTTATTGCAGAATTTCAATTATTTTGAATACAATTTTAATCGAATTCTTCAAACGAATTCAATTATTCTTAAAAATGTTATTAAAATTTGTTAAAAGAATTCAATTATTTAAAAATTTATTGATACTATTCTTTATGGGATTTAAATTTTAAGAAACATTCAATTATTGAATAAATTATTTATTTTTGTATTTAAATAATTCAATTCTAGTAGAATTTGCTAATGAAAATTGATTTAAAAATGAATTTCAGTTAAAATTTTAGATTATAATTGAATATTAAAAGTATTGGAGCATGAATCTTTAGAAATAATTAAATTTTGAAAAAGTTACAAATGTTTGCAAAAATTCAAATACATACAAAAAATAACGCTACAATTTTTTAGAATCATTTTTCACATTTTGGAGAAAATAATCATATTCAAAATTTTTAATTAAAATTTAAAATTCTTCGAAAAATTAATTAGTTTTTTTAAATTATACAAAAATTCTTTTTAGAAATTCAATTAATTTTCCAAAAATTACATTACAATATTTTTAAAAAACTAATTCTTCGAATTGTTTTATCATAATTCTTTATAAGATTTAATTACCTTCGAACAAAAGAAATCAAAATTATTTAAAATTTACTTTTTTAGACTTATTAAAATTTCGAAGAAATCATTTATAATTGAGGCCTTGGATCCAATAACTCGCCCGACGCTCGAAGGCACGCGCTAATACCAGTCGGGTAGCAGTGAGTGGCCCAGAGGCGCTCACTGCTCACTTGAAATTCTTCAAAAAATTGATTATTTTTTTATATTTTTTAAAAAATTAATTATTTTGAAAAAAATTTATCAAATTTCAATTATTTTTTAAATATTTGAACAAATTTCAATTTTTTGGACTTATTTTAATTGCATGTAATTGTAAAAATGGTCTTTCAAAAATTATTTAGAAATATTTAAAAAAAATTAATTTTAAGAATTTTTTTATTAAAATTTTTAAAAATATTCTACCTTAATAATCTTTAAAAAGAAAAATGGACAGTCTCAATTATTACAAAAAATTAAATATTTTTGTATTAAAATAATTGCATTCTCGAAGAATCAAGGAAATTCAAAATAAAATTTTTTGTGACAACGCTGAATTAAAGAAACAACTTCTTTGACTTTTTTTTCTATTTTTAATCGAATAAAGCGACTTTTTTTGGCTCGTCAAGGAAATGTTTATTATATTTCAATTAAATACATTTTTTTCATTGCAGACTAAAAAAACACTTTTAAAAATGGTCAAAAGTAACAGATTTTGCATCTTCTTAATTTTAATTTTATTCATTTCATTAAATTGTAATTTCGCATTTATTTACAATATAACTGAAGGTGAAAAAAAATCTTTTTTTTATTGAGAACTATCATGTTTGTCACTAACTAATAGAAACAGATATTTTTTCACCTTCAGTTATTTTAAATAAATGATTTGTTTACAAGAATTGTTTAAACTTTATCGAAAACTGTTAAGAATAAAATTGGAGTTTCAAGATATATTAACTCTATAGAAAAAAGGATATTGAAAGAAAAAGGATTTTTTTATATTATTACTGTTTATATTGTTTATCACAACAATTGTTAATAATTTATTATTATTTCTTAAGTCAAAAGTTAAATTATCTTGCTGATTCTGAAAGAGGTTTAAAAAATACATAAGAAACACCATGTGTAAATTTGTTTAGCCCATCATCTTTGAAAGTGGTAAGTACAAATGTAATGGGAAAATCAAGATTAATCTACATAACATTAAGTAACACATTTCTTTAAGAAATCATATGATTAAATATAAACTTAAAGTGCAGTTGTATTACTTTAGAGATAACCGAGTTGACGATGTGATCAGTAAACAGATTAGAAATCAGTGCGATAATTTGTTTAAAAATTCAATACTGCATAATGCGTCACAACGAAGTCTTATTTTTCCACTATACTCAGCAGTTAATTTCGATTTTTATTGTGTACACATTTTTTCTAAGGATATCAAATTGAGACAAAAATCGTATCAAAACGTTGAATCGTAACAATTTTGATACGTTTTTTGTCTCAATTTTATATCTTTAAAAAAAACTGTGTAAATTAATTTGATATATAATTTTCATTACTAAATTAATATTGTTGTAACATATTATTATTAGTGGAACTAAGAATATTAAGAAATTATTAGATTATAGTTTAAATTCAAAATGAATCGGAATGGTATCAAATTGAGTAGCACAAACTACTAATTTTGATATCAGATTTTTAATGTTCAGAAATCATCATGTGGGAGGAGAAGGAGAGAAGTATTGAGAAGAGAAAGTACTTCGAATGCAAGCAATTGCAACATCGCGTTTAGCGACGTTTCTGCAAAAAGAAACATTACCTACTCCAATAAAATTCGAGAAAATATTGTTCTATATAATACGAAACGAAGAGGTGGCATTATAGTCAAGATAGAAGATAAGATTTCCATATAAGATGTTAAAGTTTTGTGAGGTCCAAAAGGAACGTTGATATAAGTATAGCCATTAAGTACAAGATGCTAAGACAAAGCATATAATGAAGAAGAAGAAGAAGAAGAAGATTTTGTAGAATAATCCCTCGTAGAAATTTATACGAGGGATTATGTTTGGATGGAAGAAGCTTGCCAGGATCGACGAGTTGGGAGAAACAGGTTCCATGCGCAAAAGTTATCATGAACGTTACTCTAGAGTCTCAGAAAAGAAGTAGAAGCCCTAGTAGTTCAGAGGTGACGAAGGTGAGTGGAAAAAAAGGAGGAAGAGCATCAAAAGAAGCCTGGAAGCAAGGCACCGCAGAAACCGAAGCCAGATCAAACCAGTATATGGAGAAAAGGGAAACGTCAAAGATAAGATGTACTTCAACGTCTTGTGGGAACTGCATAAGGAAGCGAAGTCAAAGGATTCGCCAAAAATCAAGAGTCTTACCTTTGCGGCGTATTTTACTGTAGCTTACCTCTTTTAATATTTATTTAAGAACATAACATTGAAAATAATTACTAAACTTTTTGGGATAGAAAACTGAAATTTAATATTTCTTCCTACGATAATAAAAATTATTCAAATTGTTTTATACTCAGTCTGAAATCTTAATTTTTCTCCATGATCAATTCATCGTTTACTTTAATCAGTCACTGTATTAATCATCAAAGTTTTACCTTGGGTTCGAGTAATTGATCAACGATTAAACAGCAATTTCAATCATATAAACTTTCAACCGTTAGTCTGTCAATTTTTTACCAATTAGTAGACAGCTTCCGAATCTGATTTACTGGTATCAACTCTTCAAATATTTCGAAAAAACTAAGCTACTAAGTGAAACCCTTTTTTATTCATATCTAGCATTTGTTCGAAGCCTTGCGCTTTGCAAATAAATCAAGCAAATAATTAAAATACCAGAACTGGTCTCCTTCTGAAACGAAACACTTCCCTTAAAAAGAGGAAGTCTAAAGTAGAACTATAATAATTTGTTTAAATAATCAATATTTCACTTCAAAATTAAAGAGAACTCTAATTGTTTATCTAGGAAGTGAAGTTAAATAAAAAATTACTTA